CTGACCCTAGACTGCGTGTTGAGCTAGCTCTTCGAGAAGCTGGACTTCATAAAACACTTTATGCAAAAGAGATTTTACCAAAAATTCCTCCATTGAAGCTTCCAAGAAGAGATATGGAATCTACAGCTTTCAAAATGTAGAGCACCTCTCATATCAGGAGTAGAGAAGCTTCAGGGGAATTGTCTGGCCTGTAACGTGAAAACTTTAAATAAATTTCCCTTAGGCTGTGTCATAGAACTAAGTTCTCGGTGTGTGCAATCATTCAGAAAAACAATGTGCCTTTCTCGTGCAGTGCTACACCATTTTACGCCTGCCCTGGTGGAGGTTTTATAGAGGTTTGGTGGGTGTAGGCTGTTGTGGTAGAATTCCCCATGTCCCCTTCTACTGGGAGGCAGGACACCTGTACGTGACAGACACTGCAGGCCAATCTGACAGCACCCCGAGGACGAACTCTGCTTTTTAATTGGCAGCATAAATCCAAAACAGCTTTGCAGAACAGTCGCTTTAGATTATATTATGACACATAAATACATCCCACAACTTTTATTCCAGGTTTCTTGAGAATTTGATTCTTTTAATTATAACATCTTCATTATCGTGAATGTTTCTATTATTCCTTGATTATTCTAAGAAACTTATCCTTTGTCTATATTGAGAAACCAATTTGCTGCATCATATTTACTGCAAACCAGTCATGCAATATCATATTGCAGATTAGTCTTTCAGTATAAATTATAAATCAGAAATAACGTTTCAGATCTGGGATCTTTATTTTGGAGCTGATACTGCTGAATACGGTTCTATTAAATGAAAGGGAAACTGATGTCATTTCATTTTGTAACTGATTATGTTTTCAAGCCTTACATAAGATGAGTGTAAAATATATGTAAACAAGTTACAATTAGCAGTTTAACCAAAAATTTCTAAGGACAATGAATATCAGAAAGATCTGAACATCCATAGTTGTGTATCTAGATAATTATAGGAACTTCATTAATGTGATATTGTAATGCCTTGCAGGTGTTAATGGATCACATACCTACAGTGCTTTGTGAAACAGTAATTCCTCACTGTGGAAATGAGAAATTGAGGATCAGGGTAGATGGGAGCCCTGCCTGTGTTCTCCTAGCACAGCCCGCAGCGCCGGTCCAGCAAACGCCGAGAGCGGTTTTACTGCTGGCCACCGTGTGCCACCTCCTTACCTGCCCCAGACAACGGGCCCTCTTCTCTTGACATATTCAGCGACTCTACAGCCAGTGTTTTGCGATCAGAGATGAGCAACGTGACGTTTTCACACCTCAAACCGATAGTAACGCTGGCAAAACCTTGCAGCGTAAGCCTGATCTCGGCAGGTGTCTCTGAGCGCCGGGGGGAGGGAGGTTTGCTCTGGTGGCCTGGGTGCTGAAGGGTGCAAAGTCAGAAGCAGACGGGGACTCTAAGAAGCGTGCCAGAAAGGCGGGGGAAGAGCTGGGGCGACAGGCTCCCGAGAGCAAGCAGAGTTTAAGACCAGGAGCAGCATAATCTGAGTACTGAAGCGAAGTTATTTTAATGGGGGGAAAAATGCTACAGAGACTGCCCAAAAGCCGTGGGAGCTGTATGTCTTCTGGATTTAGCTTTTGCATGTTTGTGCTAAAATTACAATTCTGTGTATATTTGTGCATTTTATTTTGGTATCTCATTTGGGGTTACTCATTATTTTTAAAACTCACTTGGCCAGCTTCACAACTTGTTGGATGTTCCTGCAGGGGAGGCCAGCATTGCGTTTCTTCTCTTTTGGAGACCAGATTGGCTGCTAGACTGCTTCCCAGAAATGGCAGATCCCAAACTCAAGGCAGCTGGTTTTTTCTTTTTTTTTTTTTTTTTTCCTTGCCTTTAAAAGCAGATCTACAAGATTATAGTTGTCTTGTCATCTTTTACAAATACCAAGACACTGATGAAAAAGGAAGGTTTAAATTAAGCAGACATTTGTTTTTGAAATAAAGGGCACTGATTTTTAGGCAGTTTCTTGTGAATGTCTTCATGTCTGTTGTTTCTCGGGGAACAGACTGAGTAGAAGTCCGCTTACCTCGATGAGTCTGTGCCAGCTCACCGCAGCCGTGAGTCGGGGCTTGTTATTGGAACGGTGAGGCCAGAATGAGGGGCTTTAGAGGGATTTTCATGTGACGGTGGAGCATGGAAAACGTGCAGGTCGGTGAAACTGGCTTCAGGTGTTTTGCTCAGCACAACCAGAGGCTGCTCTTGCCCAGGGAGCTCCTGCAGCCCGGCCTGGCCAAGTGCCTCTCGCCTTGCTCCGTTGTTCTCACCTTAGCACTGTTCATGAGAGATGATGCAAACCCTTCACGAAATAGAGGTGCTTACAAGGACATTTGTTTTCATGATAAATGCTTTCTATTCTTTTAAAAAAAAAAAAATGAAATTTTGCAAGTTATTTTTGTACAAAGATGTATGAAATTACTTGCACATAAAAATAGCAATTTAGAAAATGTTAATGGGAAATAGACTTCCCAACCAGCATCTCTTGCAGCCCTACTTTGTTGGTTTTGACTTGGTAAGGGTTCAGAATTCAGCTATCCTTTATGCCAACGTATGAAGTGTATGCAGTTTGATTTTTTTTTTAAAGCCTGGGAAAAACTTGTTTGTGAAAATTAAGTTATTTGGTTTCAAGATATGCTATTTATCTGTGAATTTTGGTAGTTAGAAAAGTGGCTTAAATGTTAAATAGTCCCTGAAAGTCAAGTACCCAACTGGCACAAGATCAGTTGGTGCGGTATCCAGCTGTTGCAAAACACTTAAAGTTTGTGCCAACTTATGTGCGCATAAGCGAATATGCACATTTATGTGTGTATTTATAGAAAAAGAAAAACATAAGTGATTGCGATGCCAGTTCTGACCCCTCTGAGAATAGAGAGGGCTTTGCAGTAATGGTCAATATTTTGAAAAGGAGCTCACCAAGGGCACGCATTCTCAGCTGGGTAAACTGCTGACTCACCTGAGACCCTTGAAGAGCCTCAAACTTGGAATGTGCAGCAGAAAAACCATTTAACGACATAATCATTAAGCTAAAAGCGAAATAAGAAAAACAAGAGTCCCTTCATGGGAGAGTGTTCTAGTGAACTCTCAGTTTTCTGTCTCCTGCAAAGCTGATGACCAGGACTGTGTGTCTGTAAGCTATGGCAGAGCAAACCTCGCCTATCAAATTAGGAAAAATGTTTCAAAAAAACGTATAAAGTATTGTATGTCTTTTCCTGGGGCGATTTTAAATTATTTTCACAAAGGACTTAAAGTACATTGCTATTAGTATAGAAGTTTCTTAAGCGGACTTTGGACTTGGCAGAACTGAGACTGAAGGGTAGGTTAGATTGCACGTCAAGGGACTGGAGTGATTTTGTTTCTGTTCTGGGAGGACACTGGCTCCTGTCCTGGGATTCCTCCCCTGTCAGATTAATATTTGAGCCTAAAAACTGCAATCCAAGAATGGAAACTAGGAACCAATCTCCTTTTCTTGTAAAAAGTGGAGTTTGCTATTTCATGGCAGCAGCCGGAACGTATCCCAGATCGAAGTGCTGCTAAGCTGTTGGAGGAGTTAAGGGACCATGAAAGGGGGGTCCCAGCACCGGGGGGTCCCAGCACCGGGGGAGCACCCCGGGTGGCCCCGCTCCGCCGCCAGCCCCGCGCCCCAGAAGCAGACCTCTGCGGACAGGGGGAGGCGGCGTGCCGGCGTGCAGCGGGGTGATGAGAGGCACGCCAAGAGGAACCCGCACGTTTGGGAGGCAAATCGAGCGCTACCTGAGCGTGTGGAAATATTTCTGGGACTAGAGGGTTCCCGAGGTTGCTGATGAAGCAGATTTTGGAATACTGACCGGAGAACGAGTGCCTCGGGGACAGCCCCCCGGCATGTCTCTAAGTATCTTCAGACTTAGGTGTTTCATGCCCTCAATATCGTTAATATCTTAAGATCCTCTCCCATGTTTTTTTATATGTTAAAATTTTGTTTACCGGGGCTCTTAAATCCTGTAAGTTATTGTTCCAAAGGTGTCAAAATTCATTTGGAAGCAAGCTTGTTAGTGAACCTTAACAGCTGAAGGTGATTTTGGTGGGAAATTCTTCAGGCTGTAGGGACCCTCTGTGAAAAACCCCTCCACTCAACCCAGGCACAATTCAGTCTCTTACAGCTTGTGGAGACACTTGAAGATGATTTTCTGGATCGTTGATAGGTGTTCATTAGCAGGTGAATGTGAAAGATGTAGTCCCTGGCAGTCACCTGAAACCAGGTCAAGGTTATACCAGTAAGGTGTCTCCCCATCCCGTGCCCTCTCGGGGTCCCCGGGTGCCCCGTGCCCACGCCTGCCGACAGTGGCGAAGCTGCTCCTGCGCAGCCGGGACAGCCTGGGCAAGGTGGGCTTCCCGCACACCAGCCTCTTCTGTCCAAACACTGGCACGTGTCAGCTTTTGACAGACTTAAATATTGTCTGCATGAAAGTCTGAAGGGCCTTCGTAACAGCAATGAGTAACAGTAGTGGTCACAAATGCGGATTACTTTTGCATGTCATTTACTTAGGTTTTGGCTTTATGCCAAATGCAGAGGCACGCCCCTCCTAGAGGATCGCTGTGGACAGGGGTGACCCTAATGGGACAGTCCCTTGCGCCCACTGAAGACGGGAGTGAGGAGCGTGCAGTAACACAGTCTTAATTTCTGTGCAAATTGTGGCTGGGGTCCTTAGGCGTGCGAGTGTGTTGGTGCAATTCAAGCCGTATGGGAGGTCCACAGCTCCTGCACAGCGGTGTTCGCTGGGCCCGGCTGCCCCACTCGGCCGCGGAGGGCACCTGCCCGCGGGAGCGCATCGCGACTGAGCCTCTTGTCCGTTTCCCACAAAAAGGGTCCGTGGTATGCCGGTGCGGGTAGGCCCGCGTGCCCGCCCCTGGCGCGGCAGCGCTGGGGGCACAAACATGCCCTATGCCGGCTGGGACCCGGCGCCCCGTTGCTCGTGCTGTGTTGCCCATCAGTTGCTGGAGAAAAGCGCGTTTCCCGCCGGAGGGCGCGGCCCCAGGCGCTTTCGGATGAAGGCTGCGATCAGGCGCTGGGGCCGCTGCTGGTACTCCCGCAGCACCTCGCGGGGCGCCCGGATCTGGTCCCCCTCCAGGCGGTCCAGGAGTGCCACGCAGATGACGGCGGCTGCAGGACGGACAAAGCGCTGCGTTATCAGTTGCTGGAGAAAAGCGCGTTTCCCGCCGGAGGGCGCGGCCCCAGGCGCTTTCGGATGAAGGCTGCGATCAGGCGCTGGGGCCGCTGCTGGTACTCCCGCAGCACCTCGCGGGGCGCCCGGATCTGGTCCCCCTCCAGGCGGTCCAGGAGTGCCACGCAGATGACGGCGGCTGCAGGACGGACAAAGCGCTGCGTTATCTCATGCGTGACAACAGGTACCCGCTGCCTTAAAACGCTGCCCTGTGGGGAAGGAGAGGAGGCCCTGCTCCCGCTGCCCTCCCCGGGCCTCGCTGGGGGATGCGGCCCCACGCACCTGAGGGGCTGAAGCGGCAGGACCCCGGGGAGCCGCTGCCCACCGCACCGCTCTGCAGGCGCCCTCCGCTCACCCTGTTTCTTTTCCAGCAAAATGGGGAAAGGCAGCTACAGCGGTACAGCCAGGACTTGTTTTAAGGCTGGGAGCGGGATGAGCGGGGATTAAGTTTTGTTTTGTCCGACATGTGCTCAGGCCTTTTAAAACAAACTTTTTTTTTGACCCACAAAATTTATTTTAGTGGACTTTTCTGGTGAAAATTATTAGGAATGCGTTTTTGGCCTTCAAGATTTCTGAATCTTGCACTGACCGAACGCTCAGGTCGAGTTAAGCGCGGGGATGCGGGAAGGATGCGGAAGCGGCTGCAGGAGGACTCACCTTTCAGGCCACACAGCCTGCACAGGGCAGCGAATGCTGTGGACTCCATTTCAATGTTCCTCACACCGGCGTCATAAGCTCTTTTTAAGCACTCTAACTTCTTTTCACTGGAGAAAGAGCACAATGCTCTGTCTAATCTCCCCTGACCTTGAAAGGAAGCAGAGAAGTGTCACTGCCGGCCCTGCGTGGGTTTACACTCACGGTAGTTCCAAATGGAAACTCCAGAAGTGCCTACGCGTTGTCTGAAGCCAACTAAGTTTTCCTTTGAATAGTTACTTAACTCATATTAACGTCAGTGTTTAAAGGCAGTGTGCTGGGGTCTCTGTATAAAGGAGAAAATTACACAGGCTTTAATATTTCTAAAAAGGATGAGTAAGCCTACAGGCGTTAAGTACCCGGGGTATATTGCACTGTGCAGGGGCAAGTCATCACAGCTCCTCTGAGATCCATCAGCTGTCAGGTTAAATCCCAAAAGCACCAAATTACTGTGGAAGAGGGGCATAGCAAACTGCGCAGAACGGGAAAATTGGGGAGAGGAAAACCCCCTTAATTTAGGTTTAATTTTTCTGAGGGGGCTGCCATGGATGGCAGGCAGCTGGAGCTGCTGGTGCGTGGCATTCCCTGCTTGGGTGGCAGTGGTGCTGGCCAGGGAGCTGGGTCCCGGGGCGCTGGCGCTGCGCTCCCTCCCGCTCCCGCCGCAGCCAGGACCCGGCGCCATGTTCAGTGCGTCCAGGCGCGGGCACCCATCCTGGCCCTCTCCTCGAACTCCGCTGGTGGCTTTGGCTGTCCTGCAGCCGCGCCTGGGTCCACGCAGCGGACCCGTGCCTGGTGCAGCGACTCCGCTCGCACAGTTTGTGAAGTCCTTTGTGCCAGCAAATTGTACACCTGTGGCTGCGCTAACCTGGGCAGAGCGCTTCCTTTCGTTGCTGTTCCTACTGTTAATCCTCTCAAATGGCTTTTTGTTTAAATAAAACATGGTCTCGAGCAATACACAGATGGTCGCATTTGCAAGCAGATCCAAAGGTTTATAAATAGTCCTCAGATTATTAATTCTTCATTTATTACATTTCATCTACTCTGCAATCAGCGTTTAATTTTGCAAGGGAAATGGATCCAGAGTAACCAAAGTTTGTTTATGTAAATGTCACATGCTTCCTGATATTTTTCTAGTGTTTGGTAGTTCTGAAGTTACAATCTTCTTGTAGGAAACAACTCGGCATAACCCATCTGCTAGGCTTGCTACAGGATTGTGGATGAGGGACTGTTTTCTTTGCTGGGGTGAGGCTACTGGCCGCCTGGAGGGTCTGCGCCTGTGTAACGGCTGGGCTGGGGGGCACGAGAGGTCCCCCGGGCACCTGCGTCGTCCCAGGGAGCAACCGCTGCTGGGTGGATCTTCACTCCTGATCTGCCACCGGCTACAGCAGCACTGGTCTCGTAGGTGACATTACAAAGTGAACTGCTTGATACACCAGAGGCCAATTAGCAGAGTAGGTCTCATGCTGGCGAAGTGCCAAAATAGGTACTGTGTGTTCTGCAGGTGTACCCTGCTCCGACTGCTGAACGCGCGCTAATGGGCCAGGTACGTCAGCTCCTGCAGCCCTTCTTAGCCTTTGGTAGCATGGATAATTTTGCCTACGTAAGAGCATAGAGACTTGGCATTATGTTTGGGGGGAGGAAGGACAGTCAAAAATCGTTTTACCTTCATAGAAGTCATAGGTGCACATGGTATGGCCGATGAGCGTGGGAAAGTCAGGGATCTCCTTGCTGCAGGCGAGTAGTTCCTCCGCGAGGTCCTTGTCCAGCTCAGTGCTCCGCACCACCACGTCATCCAGCACCACCTGCTCAAACCGTGGCTTGAAGGAGTCCACCGCTGTGTCCGTGATCACAACAGACCCAGCCTCGATCCCTGTGAAAACGAAGGCTGAGGCTAAGCCAGAGCTCATAACACTTGTGACCTGCTGCAAAACTTTAGTATGACAGAAAAATCTCTACAAATGTGTGTGTGACTGTGGGGTTGTTCTCTTTGGTGAGTAAAACAGATGTGAGTGAATGATTGAAATTCATGCAGTAGCACAGATGTAGGAGTAAAACGTACGGAATCAGCACACGATGAGTGATTGTGGGAACGTGCTGAGCAACAGCCTTTTAATTGCTTCTGGCTTGCAGAGATCATACCCCGCTGCCAGCTCGTGCAGGCACGAGCAGCACCACTGCCCCAGCCGGGGGTCCCGCCAGCGCGCAGGACCACGGGCGCCGGGACAGCTGGGAGGATCTCCAAGCATGAGAGTGACTTCCAGTCAAGTGTTTTCTGTTTGAAAAGTGATACCCAATCCTTGTGAATTCAAGGCCTTTGTTCATTATGAAAATGTTCGCTCTGCTAAGCCAGTCGCTAGAAGTTTGCTGGGTTTTAACCCAAAACAAAATATCATGTTGTTTGATATTTGGGGACCTGACAACATCCTAAAGCTCATAATTACATGACCTATTGCTGAGAATGTTTTTTATTAATACCCTCTTTGCCCAAAAGAAAGACCCTGGGCAGCTTACCTAAGCCTCCAGAAGTACCAATGCGTATAATAGTAACATCTCTGCATTTTGCGTGGTGCAGCAGTTTGATTAGTTCATGAAGCATGATAGAAATGGAAGGGATGCCCATCTCATGCTGTTGGGGGAGAGAAAAGAAAAATGTCGTTCCCTGTGACGCTGCAGCGGTGACAGGTACGTGACTGCAACGAGCCCAGGGTTACGCTGTGGCCTCTTCCCACTGATGAGGCCAACAGGGATTTTTTGAGGGGGGAGAGACATCTCAGGGTCTGTGTAGCCTGTCCAGGTAAAGCATCTAACCCTCTGCTCCTCTCCTCGTCAATAGAGCTGATGTTCATCGCTGGGGACCAGTACGTCAGGTGCACAGATGGCGTCTCTCCTTCAAGAAAGGTCTCTGCACGAATGTATCTTGACGGCTGAATGCTCCAAGACCTTCCCATTGTGTTGCCCATCCTTATGCCACGTGCTGACTTCCATGCTTTGTTGTCTCCTGCTCGTACTCTCGGAGCGATCGATCTCAGCGAGGACAACCCGAGCCTCTGCTTCTCCGGGCGCCCCCCAGCCCATCCTTGCCCCACGCCGGAGCACCTCCATCCGCATCGCTGGGCGCGAAGGCTGACGGATGGGTTTGTGCCCCTCGGTGAGGACCGGTTTCGGGGTCAGGCGTTTGCCGCGTGAAGCCTCGCGCCTTGCATGCCACCTGTCCTGCTTCCCGGCTCGCATCACCCCCCCGGTGTCCCTCCGTCCCGCGCCTGCCTGGCTGCCTGCAGGCCCTCCCCTCTGCTGGCACCAGCCCGCTCCCCGTCCCCTGCCACGGCTGGTGGTGCCCCGCTGCCCCGGCTCCGCTGCTGCTCCCCTGGGCTGGCAGATGCTTTGCAAATCTCGAGCTGTCGAGGCTGCCTCTGCTTTCTGCCCAGCGCTCCCTCACGTGATCCCCTTAGTTTTCTGCTCCATCGCTCAACCGCCGTCCTTTTGTCAGCTTTACCTTTAAAAACAAAAGGTGTTGGGTGATGTGGTTTGGTTTTTTTTTTGCCATGAAAAATGCCTCACGTTTTTTTGGTTTTGCTGTTGTGTTCAAAAACCTGAAGGAAGCATACGTAAAGAAGCCCGGCTAATTTAACATATGCAGTTTTCATATTGCTTTGTCTCTCTTCATTTGGCTGTGAGACTGATGGTCTATTAGGTTTGTATCATGTTTTAAATATGAAAACATTTTGCATGTTGTTATTCTGGAACATCAGCCTGACTTATTTGCCAATGCCTAAAAAATTTATTCTCATTGTAAATATTCAAAGCAGGAAACTGTGTTCCTGCCTCCACTATGTTTGAGTTCATTTGTGTTTCTAAGCAACTTGCAAAAATGTGATGTTGGCAGCTGCTCTGCATGAAGCATTTTGGGGGAGGCTCGCTGCGTGCTCTGCCCTGCGTCCCCTCGCAGGGACGAGCCTGGGGGCCGATGGCTTCTGCATGGGCAGAAAACTGGTGCATGGCCAAGAGCTCAGCGTCGGCTTTTCTTCTAGCTGTGTCACAACTGCTGCCGGATCGGGGAATAGCGACACTTGTGGGGTTTTGTCCCCTTGGATCCTGTCAGATTGATTCCCTCAGGCTTTTCCATCAGTCAGGTTTGGGTTGGTTCGGTTTTGTCAGAGGGACCAAACGTGAGCTGTGTTGTATGAGTGACGCCGTCTCCTGTGAATCAGATTTAAGACTAATCGTGTGCATGAAGAAATGACGGCAGGACCGAGCCTTGGGGTGTGAGCACCCGCCAGCACAGCCTGTATTTGCTTTTCCCTTTGTGCAGTGCTAAAAATGCTGCTGCTCTTAAAGAATAATTAATAACAAAGCAAGATTTTTACTTTAGAGCTCATGTTAACATGGTACTTCCAGCAATATTTCATAGTTCACGCATGGTGGGAAGTGATCTTTGCCTCTTGAATTGCCAGACTGCAGAGCTGAGCAAAATACATGCATGCTCCTTTTAATGTGATGCTTTTTAAACTGAACATATACGGTGTGAAAAATGCCATTCCAACAGAAGCAGCTTTACCATGGCTGAAAGGTTGTGCTGATGGTAACAGCTGAAAAGAGGGAAAAAATCTGCCGGTGGGTGTTGTGGGAAGCGGAGGCATGGGAGGGAGAGGTCGTGCCGGCCACCCTCCCTGCCGCCGGCTGAGACGGGGCCCCTGCACCCGCCGTGCGGGGCCGCGCGCCGGAGGCACTCGGCACCCGAGTACGGGAGTGGGGCGGGCCCCCCTCCCCCCGCCCGCGGCGGGCCCGCGCCGGCGCCAGCCGACCCCGGGGCAGGGGCTGCGGTGAGTGCCCGGGGTGGCAAACCTGTGTGGTGCGGTGCAGCACGGCGCGGTACTCACGCTGATGGAGAGCACCGGCCCAGCCCGGGACGTGGCGCAGTGGTCCGTCCCCGCGCAGATGTCTGCCAGGTCCTCCCCATCGCCCGCCAGTCCCACCTCCTTGTGCATGAACTGGGCAAATGCCTTCATCCTGTTTGGGCTGCCGCCAACGCAGACAAACTGGATGTAAAATACAAATGTGTTGGTAATTTTTAGCTAAAATAGGTACCAAGATTTAGTCGTAATGTGGCAGAGGCGGGCTGCACCAGGCACGTCTCCCCAGAGAGTGCAGTGGGATGCTGCCTCCTTGCAGGCAATCAGGGGACAACGGAACAACTGAGGGTCTCACAACCAGGAACTAACATTAAAACCAAACTGTTACCCTTTAGGGTTGTGACTATGCTAGGTCCAGACAGCTGTATAGCTGCACGTACTTGGGTATCAGTCCCAGGCCAAGAAAATGTAAAATAATTCAGCAAATTGAAGCTGTTAGTGTTCCTACTGACAGCAAAGCAAAACCAGATGTTAGAGTAGTTCGTCGTTTAATTTATTCTATCAACAGTGTTGACTGCAATTAGTGAGCACTGCTGATGACACAGAAGCCGTAAAGTCAGCGAGAAAAAGGACAAATTTTACATATTAAAAGAAAAAATACTCCCTGAAGGTAGGAGTGGGACCAGCTTGTGGCTGCAAGGGCAGCGCTGCTGATCCGGCTGCCAGTGGCGCAGGGGAGCAGGAGCCCGCGGCTGGCAGGGGCTGGGGCGGGGTGCG